GCAAATGGTTGTTCGGTTACACTTCATTGACCAAACTACGAGCACCACTTTTTTGACAACTTCCTTTATCTAGATACAGAACCACAATGAATGTTGATGCTACCTATAAAAGAGTTTCACGCCAACATCGCGTCGGTCCATTTACTTTTTAGTTTATACGTACTCCTTGGTTACACAATCTCGCCACAATCAGGTAGCACTATCCTATTTAACAATGTAAATACATTGAGTTTTAACTTTAGATTAACCCACAAATATTTCAGCCAACGAACAGATATACCTTCACCTAATTGTTAGTTTAGGACGGAAAAGCGGCCGATCGATATTTCTAATTAAATTCAACTCGGCTACGAACTATTGTCATCCCTAACGGAGTTGTAAGGAACCACGAGGGAATCGCCCTTCATTGCTCAGAATTAAGTTATTGTCGAGTTTATTGCACTAATGTGTGGGGTTAGACCTGACGATGTGTGACGTGCGTTTCTGTAACATTTTGCTATTGTTCTTTATCTATGCGATGATAAAATAAAGGATGCACGCGTCACTGTAAAGGGTAATTAACGAAATTTTATGTCAATTCACGCTGCGTACCGTTTCGACTCGAGTGATAAATGTTTTAATATTTCTCTAGACTATAAGGTTTTTCCAGAAGAAAATAGTTTGTGCTTTATTTTTATAAGCCATGTTGATTTATTATTTAATAAAGGGTATTTTTTTGTTATTTCTTTCTTTTGATATCTATTGTTTTTTCTAAATAAATTATACCCCAGCGATAGCTTCTTACAGTATAAAGTGAGTAATATGTGAGAGTTCCTCAAAGAAAACGTGCCGCTTCAACGAGTGCTGTGAGTCAGGCCCAAAGACTGACAAGTGTAGTCAGTGGCAAGTTCAAGAAAAACAATAAATGTTTAATGAATTATTTATCATGTTGCAGTATAACTGAGGCAGAATATAAAAAAATGATCAGTCAGTTAATTAACATCTTTAATAAAAAAAACATTAAAAAATAAATAACTATTAAGCATTAACAAAAACAAACATTAAATAAAAAATATGGAAAAAAATACCTAATATTTTTATAAATTTTTGTTTTTAAAAAATCGAACATGAACATTCTTCCCAGGAATAATGATGTCATCTTTGGCGCCTAAAATAACGGTTCGATCGATACGTCATTTGTATTGATCGTCGGACATGGTCTAGTGTGCAGGGCAGTCCCTTTGTCAGCGACGATACGGCGCATTAGTCTACAAATTGTGATAAATATCTATACATTGTATCGTGACGTATATGATGTATCGTTCACATTGTAACGTGTGATAGTTAGGGTGAACGCTGTTTGCGAAAATCATTCGGCCATGTTTGATGGATTTTGAACTGAAAACTTACGACTTATTTTTGTAGTGCACTCAAGTGTAAGGAAAATAAAAATACTCTTTTTTTATTTAAAGTTCCCGTGCCGGGTGACGGGTTTCATTACTTAGATACTTTTTACTTAACTGCTCGGTTGACGCGGTTGAGCAATCGGCTGTTGTCCAAAGCGTCACAGGTTAAATCCCGCATGGAACAACTCCTTATATGTTCCACAAATTGTTGTTCCGGGTATGGGTGTAAGGCGTATGTGAAGTTGAATATTTGTAAACTCCACACTCGACATTTGAAATAAACATAGTGTGGAGTACAATTTTTAAAAATAAATAAAATCAGAACGACTTCCATATCTATATAAATTTACTTCACTACATTTATATACTGCATGTTATACTTTTTCATCCTAGAATCTATATGAACTTTTTTTTGGTCATATAAGAACCCAAATGTGTGTAAGCAATCTTTGTCTAACTATATACCTATATATAGTAAATTGTATCGATCTGCAGCAGTTTTCATTAATAATATATGTACCTAATTACTAATGCCTAAAAGCATAATAATTTTAACTAAAATATTGCGCTGTAAAATTGGTTGCGTCCTTGTTAGTTGTAAGTATCCGCTAAGTGCTTGCAAATTTATTTATTAAATAGATAGCTGAACGCAAATTGTACGGAGCCCATCAATGCTTTTCATAAAACATTATTTATTTAAAAACTCTTTATTCAAAAATACTGTTTAATAAGAAATGCATGTTACGTAAATACCGGGATACTTATTATTCAAAAACCTCTAAACACAATATAATAAATACAACATACGTAATATCATCAGCAAAGGCTCTTCTCACACGGAGAAGGTTTGAGCATTAATCGCCACGCTTGCTCAAGGCGGATTGGTGATATGAAACTTATAATTAGAAATTATAACTCTAGGTTTCCTCACAATGTTTACCTTCATAATAAAATCAGTGATGTCTAAGTAACCAAATAATAACAAAAAAATAAATCGGAAAAAGTCACATTGGCCCTCACCAGGTTTTTAAAACTACACCCTCATGAATGAGAAGCGGGCGCTATACAACATATAAGCTAGCAATAATTCCCTATTCAAACATCAATAAGCAATGCTACGAACATTTTTAATTAAAATAACAACTCAATTAGTGCAGCTTAGTACTCCTGACATACATATCCCAGGAGAACAGGAATAACAATATATAATATGACCAGTTCCATAAATTTGATTTAATTAAAACCGTGCGTGGGTACAATCGAGGCAGCCATTAGGATTACTCGTTGAGTGGAAAATACATTACCATTCCGTTTAATAGAATAAATAAACACTAAAAGGACATTCTCGCCTAATGATTAAAGGGTTAGAAGTCGTATGAGCTTAGCCGACTTCAGTGGCAACCCTGTCACTGTTTGAAAGATAGAAAACACACATGTGTGTTGCTTTATGTTATAAGTAGTATAGCAGAAAATATAAACTAAGTGGCAGATTATTGAGGGCTTTTTTGAGGGCGAAAAGTCGTCAAATTACTTCTCTAGTGTATGGGGGTGTGAGAAGGAGTATCAGTCTTTTACTGACTAAAAACCATCATGTTTCTCCTCCTGCTCGTGGCCGAGTCAGCTATTGAGATTTTAAAAGCTTGTTGGACAAGTAATGTATGGCAAGGAGTGTTATAGTAATAAACTGCAGAAGTATAAGTAGTTAGTCTAAACAAAATCAATATTTAAAATTCCCAAGTCAAAGAAACTGGCTATCTTATTCTTTTTTCGACACCAAAGGGGCAAATCATAAAAGATGTCATTCTTCTTTTCCTTTAATAATTATCAAAACCATAGTAGAAACAAAAAATACTCTCGATTGAGAAAACAATATGTAGCTGTACGAATAAAATTAAAACATAAAAATGTTATCTTATTGCAAAAAGAATCGTTGCATTTGTTCTAAAGTAGAACTTTAAAGGTTGCCAAAATTAGCATAAAGCTGCTAAAAGGCTATCAAATTCGTGTCGAAATTTTTATTAATAAAAACCATTTTTTTTTTTCATAGTAACATTTATTTGAAAAAAAGACTATAAGATTTTTCCATTTTAAATATTCAACTACTAAATGAAAATTTTTGTTTGCTTTCAATCAAAACTTTACTTTTTAACTTTGGTATCAGCTGTTGTATCTTTTTACTGGATGCTTGTTCAAGTAAAAAACTTTGTACTTAAGCGTTTATATGATATTTGATTTTTTTAAATTTATGCCATTCATTAATATTTTTCAACTTGTTTTAATTACGAAACGCTTTATGAGATTTTTTATTACACTCCATGCATGATATTCGAAAACTTTCAAAGTACCGATAAAAATATTTTCCATTCAAATTTGGAACAACAAAAAAAAAAATATGGCGTTCTCTTACATTACAATACGTTAGTAAAAAATATCAATTTCGCCCTAACAGCTTGTAATACACAAACCCTTGCTTATACTATTTACGTCTCGATGAAATAAGACAACAAGCTATCAACATGTATACAGTATACAGGGTGCACTTATTTTTTATACCCACAAGAACACGTCACATTTTTATTAAAATGCATAAAGCACAACCGAAATCCATCATCCATTTTGTCCTTAACCCTGTCAGTTTGCTGTCATCGCCCAACGAGCCCAAATAGTATTAAAAAACTAAAAACTGTCGTTGAATGACAAGTCGTTAAGGAGTCGTTGCAGGCCACCAGAACAGCTCTAAGAAATGCATTAACTATTTTTAGGGTTCCTCTAATATGGCTGCTGATCTTGGAATTTGAATGAATGTGGATTTTTTCAGCTGGATGTATACGCGTGAATTTTCATGAAGGAAATCGCTCTTTTTGTGTAGACAAAACGACATTATCTATTGAAAATGTAAATGTATATGTTATAATCAAAGATAGTCCCACATTTTTTCCTAAAATTATTAGTAAGTTAAAAATAACTACTGATACAGAACCCTGATAGGTTCACTTTAATTCTTTGATCCGAACCCGTAGGCTTATCTAAGAATTCTTTGACCATGATACCATTCTTGTAACCGCTCTACATATTTTTACGATGAAAATTATCTCAACATTCCCCTTAAAAAGAAACCATTAACATGACAGACATCCATTAAAAATGTAGATTTTGAATCTGATTAAAAAACTTAAGTTAATTCGAGTATGAAAAAAAGAACAAAATAATCCAATAAAACAATAACAACACTCAACACCAAACAGGAAACACGAAAACGGATCGGGAGTATCGGAAACTCGAATAAACAAACTCAACTGGCCACTCAACTAACGCACAATGTTACTTAGTGCATATAAAAAATAACAACAAACGCGCACTTCGAGTGCTATTCGCGTTATTATTAGCTGCAGTGCATATAAACAAGGTTACAGCTAAACGTCGCCTCCGGCCGTATCGATGCGTCGACGGGCCCTGCTTCGCCGCTTTTAAAAAGCTAACCCGTCCCGCAAGAAAAGGACGGGTGGCTAGCACGTGGGAAGTGAATTCCGAACGCACGCACCCCCTCCCGCTCCGTCCCCCACCCCGCGCCCCTTGCTCCTTGCGCCGCGCACACCAGTCGCGCGCCGACCGCCGCATGGACAACACGTCCAATAAACTCACCCTAGACCGAACCCGCCCCGACGTTGTGTTAACCGTAGTGGGAACGAATACGTTGTGATTTGTTTTGAGTGTGACGTCACTAGTGCAAGCTGTGAACGTAAACGCATAAAATTGGTGTTTTGAGTGCACTATGAGGTTGTTTACAACGTTATGAATGGTTTGGACCGCTGCTTCTTCGATCAACGTAAGTTTGTGTTTTGGTTATGTTTGGTTCTTGTTAATGCTGAATTGGGCGGAAATTCGTAAATTGCCTCGTTCAGGCTGCGGTTAGCGCTGGCTTTATTCGCGTGTAATGGGACGTGCGTTGCGGCATTTCAGCATTTTCAGCGGCTATGCGGTGACTTGGGTCACGTAATTATTAAAATGCCCTAAACTCATTTCGTATAAGAATCTATTTCAATTTCTCGCGTGGGTAGGGAATTAGGTTTGCATAACGTAAACATAAAATTTAAACTTTGTGATTATAATATCTGGGCTTTACAGTGAGTTGTTAATTAAATTTGAGACGAGTTTCGTTCATTATTTAGTTAAATTGCAAGTTCAAAGTAAGGATAACACAAGTTTGTGATGCTTTGGAAACTGATATTAAATAATTACTGAAAGCAAAGTTGTGAACATTTCGCTATGCAAAATATAAACAAACAAATAGATGAAGTTCGGAATTAGGACTAAGTATCAACATTACTCAAATATTGACGAGTGTTATTAAAACCATTACATTACTAAATTGAAAACATGATGTAAATCATACAAAACTCATGAAGTACTAACAGCGAAAGAAATATCTAAACGTACAACCAGTTCGAATAAAAACGCAGCCGCAATAAAACAAAAAACAAAATCGTATTAAGGGGTCAAAAATAATAATCATTCTTCTTCTTCTTAGCAGTGTTAGTACTGCAGCGCAATCTTTTTTAAACCAGCTGAATTTATACATAATGTGAATGCAGGAGTGAAAATTACAAGTCTCAGTGCTCTCAAACATTGTAACGAAATGGACAAACTTTAAGAACATATTAAATCCAACAAGATAACTACTAACGACTGTTGAGTCAACAGCTTTATTTTGTTAAGATATGAGCACGGAGCACCGGTTAAATTGGTAATGATTTGTCCAATTAAGACGAAAGGGCAAACGATGGAACAAACAGGATGGCTTGTTGTGAAATCATTGGAAATGATTTGAGGAATGCTTGGACAGTAATTGATTTAATGAAAGAATTGCTTGATGCACGACATAATGATGTTGATTAAGACTTATGTGAACACCGAATAAAAGCGGTGATTTTTATTGAACTTAACGCAGACTACTGTTTCAATAAACACAATCTGATTGATAATAACATTGTTTATATGAATGACAAATTCCTAGAAGAAAAGACGTCTTCCAATTAGTTTATTTGAGAGGGTATTTCAATATAATCATGAATAAACATTTAGGCAAATGATATTATAGACCCAAAACAAAGCTTGTAAACAGTTCCAAGAATGTAATTCATAAAAATTATTCGTCCGGAATTATCACATTAATTTTGTACTTAATTTAAGGATTGTAAGTAATTGGCGTTTTCAGATAAAATGCTCAGTGTGTTCTTGCCCTTTTTAATTTTCTTCAATAAAATATTGTTAAATGTTTCGTATTCTTATGTTTACCTTAGCCAACCAAGAGTTCCATTTTATGTAATTTCAATGAGCTATTGACGGTGATAAATCAACCGTTATTTAAAAAAAGTGAGGCAATATTTTTCTTTTTTCCAACATTTTGAAATCGATAGCCAATAAAAAGCAAACAAATCACACTTATGTTACCCAAACACCTTCGTGTTAAACCAACATAAATCACCAAATAGTGCTGGCAAATAATAAAAAAGTAATATTTAAATAGTCCGACCGCAATGGACCACCCGCGCGATCCGTTCAACTTCATCCGCGGCACGAACGTCCCCATTATACTATCAAAAGATAGTTGGACCCGCCCGTTTGTATTCAGTTTTTACGTAATTTACATCTCGTCTATTCTTATTCTTATTTTGTTTTCGTTTTGTGATCTCCACGGGACAGGTTTTTGTTCGAATGTGTCGCGTGTAAAACTGCATCATCATCCGGCTTTTGTTGTTTTCTTTCCTGTTTTAAATTGGATGCATCTTTATCGATTACATTGTTCGCTACCGGTGATTGGTTTGTTTTTTCTTTCATTATTCTTGTAAGCTTCGTCTTTATTAATGTGTTATTCACGTCACTATTGGGATATAGTGCTTCTTACTACGAGCCTATTATACATATCCTCTTTAATAAATGACAGAATATCAAACAAGATTCAAGTTTTGCAACGTCGATCTTAATTACCTGCGCAACATCTTAAGATTTCACCACATCTTATATTTCGTCCTCTAGTATAAATGTCTTAATATTATTTTAATAGCTACATTACATAATGACGGTACTTTTGATCTGTCGTTGTCAAATGTAAATATATATATGTAAGTATATTAAACAGCTCGATGGCAGTATAAAGAAACAAAACAACTCCGGCAAGATAACTACTGAATATAATTTACTCATCAGAGCAAATTATTAGAGCATTTAATATTTATTTAACGAATAAAACTACACAATGTAACTAAAGCTTTAAACTTTATAATAATTTAATAATTTTAGTTTTTGCGTTAGCTCTAGGCTTTGTGAAAATTTAATTTAACCTTGTTGAGTTATTAAACAAAATTTCGATACATACGAAATCCTATTCCCTGCGTACATAAAAGTTTGTACGGCGTACCTGAGCCGAATTTCAACTATTTCCCTTAAGTTTCCGGTTAATTTAACGCGGGGTCGCTGTATGCATCCAAACGACAAGCAAGAGACAACACAGCCGGGACTCCCACGTGTGTTGTACAAACAACAAACTTCCCAGAAAACACAATGTCATCAGAAACAAAAACATTGCACCCTAATTGCCTGCTATTACCACAAAAGTTCTTCCCAATGATAATTACGGGGCTTCGTGAGGCCAATACTGTGTATTTAGTGCATAGTAATCATTGCCTTTGGTATAGCAACGTCTTATTACCGACCCACTATTTGGTATAGACTCTAATATTCTACGAAGACATAACAAAGTGTCTTTGACATTTTTCTAGGCTTTATTATTATGTTTTCAACGCTTGAAAGTAATATTATTTTTGGTTTCTGTGAATTATTGATGTCATCTACTTCAGATTTTTGTGAATTCAATGGCTTTAGTATTTCTTTTTTTAATTATTAAAAAACCGTATCTCACTGATGAATCTGATAACATCATGGCAAAACTCGATAGGTATTTATTACACTAAAGTGCTATTAAAAAGCTATTTAGGAGAACAAATGATTTTATTCGATGATAATGATATTCGATGTGGTGGAAATAAAAAGATACAGAACTTTTATGGTGCCTAATAAAAGAGTTATGTTAGTAAACGATCAAAAGTTAAAATGCCGTAAAAATACAATACTTTCGCTCATTGTTTGATGCTTTGCCGTGCTCGTAAATTTTAAACAAATTGGTTTAGAGGTAGACCGTTTTTTGGTTAACTTTAAAGTTTTTTGTACAGGAAGCTGTTTCGTTTTACTATTGTCGAACTTTCTATTACTTTTAAGCCATTGATTCAACTACTTACGGCAGCAACGATAAAAGTCAATAAACCGTTGTTTATTGATATTGCGTTTATCTTCAATTTACTCTGTTGAATTCAAATTATCTGAAATTTCATTCTTCTAGGCTGTTATTGTGTCTTTGAATACAACATTTATAGGTACTCAATCATTTTGATTGAAATTAAGAAGAACGCTATTTGCTTTTTTCAATTTGGTGCCTTAGGAAACTAGTAGTTTTATTTCGGTAATGTTTTATCCATCTTTGAGACATTGTATTCTTTCTTATTCATTTATATACAGGCGGATTGGTTTAGTTTAATTTGTTTTCGATTAACCTACTTGAAAAAATAATTAATTATCATTAAACATATGTTGTTCAAACTTCAGTGTATCGCTACTGCGCGAGATAATTTCCACTAGTTCGTAGAATGCCCGATCGTCCCCAGGGCTTTAATTATCACCAAGTAGGATTATCCTCCATCTTGGAAATTCATTAGTATTAGGAGCTTCACAGATAAATCGTTGACTAATTAAATACCTATTGAACACATTTATTAAAGCTAATAATTTGGCATTGCCAAATAAACACCTGTCACTACATCAATTCGCCAAAATCACCTAAATATTTTACCAAAGATATGATTTTTATATAGTCATCATTCAAGATTAAAATCAAGATCAGCTGGTTTTATAAAAATATTGATTACTTTAATAAACTCCGACTTATGACATCTTTAACCTGTTAGTATAGTTATTTACTTATTTACGTCGTTGGGATAATGACAGACATTATGTCATCATAATCTCTCTCAATTTATTTTTTTAAATCAGTAATTTAATATTCTTTGAAATGTTCTAATTTAAGTACGTCAACATCTTGGACAGTGTGTCAGAACGGTGCAGTACCGATGCCAGCTGCGGAATCCCTGACCTATTTCATTTTAGATCTCATAACTAATGTAGATACTGATATTAATATGTATGATTAAGTGAATGAGGAACAAGATATTATGTAGAAAGAAAAACGATGCAAAAAAGAAGATGAGAGTTAGAAACATAGTGAATAAGTTTATGTTAGAATACTTGAAAGATTAATTGGCAAGTTATTTTTGATTGTCAAATAGAGTGTGGTATGATGACAGTGAAACAAACTACTCACTAAAATACATACAAACTCATCCTTTGCAAAATTCTTTATCTTACACTTACACACACTAATTACTAAAATAATATCTTTTGAACAATACCAATACAACTATAAGAGGTTGCAATATAAATAGTCATCATTGCATCAACCTGTCTCGTAGACATAATTCTAAAGTTGCTAACAATGATTGCAGTAGGTGGTCTTAAATGATTTGGGCGTAACATTGACGACAATGTCACCTGGGTGGCTTCAAGTTCCATCGCCTTAATTGTCTAATCAATAAAGGAGTCTAATAGTGTCAACCTTTTTATAAAACGTATTGAATTCAAATTTCTTATTACCAGCGTCATTTGTCACTTCAGAATTTGCTTCTTCTAGTTCGAATATATCATCTTTTACAACCAAGT